GAAGTGATTGACTACCCCAGACCCACGAATACCCGAACCCCTCATGTGATAACCGACCGTTGTATGAACAGCCACTGTATGTCAATATCAAAATGGATAAACTCATCGAGAATCTAGTGAATAGATCTTCATCATAATTATTCTAAGATCAATTACTACATCTGCATCCCTTGAATCACCGCTGGACCGAACATCGGCCATGCAACACCGGTAATGCCAATTGTCTTGTCGAAATGCTGATCTGCCGACCGCAACTCCGCATGCAGCCGCTTGTTGCCTCGGTTTTGACTGACTTCCCCCTGCCGTCAGCTGTCTGTCCACTGCCTACCTCCGCGGTCAACCGGAGATGCCGAGCTATGCTCTTTTCCTCCTTCTTTCACAGAGCTTTAATCTTCGCTCTCTTCTCATTGTCCCCGCATCATAACTCACATCCCTTGATATCCTCTCCATCAAAATGGCCATGACAATGAGATCAACACGCCATGCATCCAAGCTGGCTCAGGTAGGCTCATCCAACCTATCAACAGTCGCATACAGAAACTTACCCTGTCATCCTCTCTAGACTGCCCGCTTGGCTCTCAATACCCGCAGATACTCAACGGCCGAGCCAGATCTCAAGACTGCTCTAAAGGCAGTAATCCCCGCCAAACGCGAGCTGTTCAAGCAGGTCAAGGAACGTAGCGATGAGGTGATTGGTGAGGTCAAGGTCGCCAACGTCATTGGTGGCATGCGCGGTCTCAAGTCCATGCTCTGGGAGGGTTCGGTACTGGATCCTGAAGAAGGCATCCGGTTCCACGGCAAGACCATCAAGGATTGCCAAAAGGAACTCCCCAAGGGTCCGTCAGGCACCGAGATGCTCCCTGAGGCCATGTTCTGGCTGCTCTTGACGGGCCAGGTCCCCTCGACCAACCAAGTCCGCGCATTCTCGCGTGAGCTGGCCGAGCAGTCACATCTGCCGCAGCACATTTTGGACCTGATCAAGTCCTTCCCTCGCTCCATGCACCCCATGACCCAGCTGTCCATTGCCGTGGCGGCCCTCAACACCGAGTCCAAGTTCGCCAAGGCCTACGAAAAGGGCCTCAACAAGGCCGACTACTGGGAGCCCACCTTTGACGACAGCATCTCGCTGCTCGCCAAGATCCCGCGAGTCGCGGCGCTGGTCTTCCGCCCGGACGAGGTGGACCAGGTCGGCACGCAGGCCCTGGACGCCAGCCAGGACTGGTCGTACAACTTCGCCGAGCTCCTGGGCAAAGGCGGCAAGGAGAACCAGGACTTCCACGACCTGCTGCGTCTCTACCTGGCGCTACACGGCGACCACGAGGGAGGCAACGTCTCTGCGCACGCCACCCACCTGGTCGGCAGCGCGCTCAGCGACCCTTTCCTCAGCTACAGCGCGGGTCTGCTGGGTCTCGCCGGCCCGCTGCACGGACTCGCCGCGCAGGAGGTCCTGCGCTGGATTCTGGCCATGCAGGACAAGATCGGCACCAAGTTTACTGACGATGACGTGCGCAACTACCTCTGGGATACGCTCAAGTCGGGACGTGTCGTCCCTGGGTATGGCCACGGCGTCCTGCGCAAGCCCGACCCGCGCTTCCAGGCGCTCATGGACTTTGCCGCCACCCGGCCGGACGTCCTGGCCAATCCTGTGTTCCAGCTCGTCAAGAAGAACTCGGAGATTGCGCCTACTGTGTTGACCGAACACGGAAAGGTAATTTCCTCTCTGGAGATACTTTCCCTGCGATATACTAATGTGACGATAGACGAAAAACCCCCACCCGAACGTCGACGCCGCCTCCGGTGTCCTCTTCTACCACTACGGCTTCCAGCAGCCTCTATACTACACCGTTACCTTTGGCGTCAGCCGTGCCTTGGGACCATTGGTACAGCTCATCTGGGATCGGGCCCTGGGCTTGCCCATCGAGCGACCCAAGAGTATCAACCTACTGGGCTTGAAAAAGTAATGACCAAATGACCTGATTGTATTGCCTGTGATATCAACTGTTGTATTTCGTTTTCGTTTTCGTTTTCGTTCCGTAGCACTAGATGTAGATCAATGATAGATTACCGTCATTAGCAGATCAAAAGTGGAAGGTAGTTCTATACTTGTTTTCGAATTACAGACATATACATATACATGGGTATCAACAAACGCATCAATCACTAGTCCACCCCGCAGCCCTTCACACTATGACTCTCAACCCTCACCTCCGTCATCGTATGAATCCCCGTCTCACTCAACCCCTTCAACTCCGCCAGCGTCGTCTCACTCCCGCTCCCCTGGCCCCGCGAATGCGAATTTGTATTTCCGTTTATATGGGGACAAGCCGCCAGGATCCTCTCCTCCGAGTCCCCGTCCGAGGAGACCTTATCCCGCTCAGCGGCTGTAGACATGATAGTTGTCGTGGCGGGGATACTACTATCGAAAGGACGGGAGCCGGAGCCATGGATATAACCTCCGCCGGGGGTTCGATTCGAGGGCGAAGTCAGGCGGTAGGATTGGGATCGGTAGCCGTTCGCGTGGCGGCGGCGGTGGGTGGAGGAGGTTAGACTAAGAGAATGGAAGAGGGGGCCGTAGGTTGGGATGCAGGAGATTATGACCTAGATCGTTATTAGCGAGCGTAGCGAGCGACTAGCTGGTGAATGTAGGCAGTGGAGTGAAGCGTAGCGTGCGATGATTGAGTGAGGAAGGGAGGGTGCTTACGCCAAGACTAATTTCAATGACAGACCAAAGGACGATAGGCTGGCTATCTGTGTAGGTCTTCAGGTTCTTGATTGTGAAAATGCGGATGATTTGGATGATGGTGACGAAGAAGCCGAGGGCGAAGACGGCGACGAGGGCAGCTTTCTGGCGGCGGTGGAGGCGGAGGGTTATTAGGACGGGGAGGGGGAGGGCGATGATGATGCAGTCGAAGGCGAGACTTGTTCCTAGTCCTTTTAGCTTCGCTTGGGTTGTTGCTGTGAGAGTCATACCTGCGAGTGCTGTATGGTGTTAGTCTGGCATGGTACAGCCTGACGGGAGAACATACCGTAGTAAGATGCCACGGTATCGATGCAGCTGCCTTGAATAGACATATCCCACTGCCTGGCTATCGGACGACAGGCAAAACACAACACAAACGTAAAAGCCAACTGGTTACAGACGCATGCGACGATGACGGCGATGATGACTATGCGGTAGGCCTTGACGAACCCGCCGATGCGGAGATACGAGGCTAACAGCGAGACTTTGAAGCCTAGCAGGGCCAGCGTGTAGACGGGGCCGCCGGCATATTGAACCTGTAGTCAGTCAATACGGATTTTCAGGTCAAGGTCAGGCAACGGACCCTACTGAACGGCACGACATTCTCCTTGGGAAAGTATTTGGCATTTAGTCCAAGACCCCATCGGGATTCTATGCCAGTTAGCATCTCAGCCTTGCAACTCCAGTGGTACAGGCAACTGACGAGCAATGGATATCGCGCCATAGGCAATGGCCAGAATGGAGCTGAAGAGTGCGGCATAATCATCGACCCATCCGGCGCGCTTGGTGTGGATGCGCACATAGAGTCGCAAAAGGACGGCGAGAAAGGCGACAATGGGGAAAACCAGACAGATGGCAATGACGCGGGGGACCTGGCTGTGAGGATCGGGGGTTTTGAGATTGTACACCCAACCCATGGTTTAGGTATGCTAGGGAAGCATTTCACCAGGTGGCTCGATTGAATATGGAGATATGAAGCTATTGACCACAACAGACGTGCACGAACTGGATGTGACTATTTTCTACTTTACTCGAATACTTATTTAGGCGCAATTAAGTGTGTGGGATTCAGATCGATATTCAGAGTGAGGATATCCACTGAATCTGGACAGATCTCCACCTCTTCTCTGATTATCCCCTGCTGGACTGGGAATAGAACTTACTAATAGTGAGGAAGATCGGCACAGGATCAAGGAACACGCGGTGGAACAATGGAAGACGAGCCTTTCCCAGCCATTTCTCCGATGGATCATCCACTCCACTTGGCAGATAGACCGAAAGACCGAGACTGTCTCAGTTTAGTCTACGGAGTACGAATCACGGAGTACAGTCAGGCCGTAGTAGATTCTTTTCCCACTATTTCAGCCCGACAGACAATAATCCCTTGTCTATGCCCATGTATCCTGTACAGGCATGTTATAGTAGCATAAGTGGAGAAGAACTGCTGATCTTCAGCCCCAAGCTGATGAAACCATGGTTCATGTTATCTTGCCTGCAATCTTGTCAGGGTCGCTCATAGATATGCCGTCGACATCCATACTCCTTAGTACCTTAGTACCTAAGTTATTGCAGTCAGCAACATGCATGTACTCTGCAGTAAGGGACTAGGCACAAGACCAAACAGGCAACTCGCTTGAGAACAACCTAGAAACAAACGAAAACACGGGAATCGCGGAAGCAAAAAAGGCAGGAGATTCATTTATTAAGCTCGGGCCACCGGGAACATCCCTGTTGTGGCCCCCAAACTAGGCCCAACTAAGTCTCTTGGTCAGTGTTCATTGGGCCACTGATCCCGCGGTGGGTTGCAGGATTATATTGTCGCTGGCCAGTAAAGGAAGCCCACCCGGGAGAGAATCATCTACTCTGTCCAGGTTGCCAGGTTCCCCTGCTGTCTAATATATGGAACCATAATTGCCGCTCGTTTACACTCATGCCTTAATATCGCTTAATATCGGTAGAGGATGGTACAGTTTCAGCTTGATGAACGCACTGCAGTATGGATATAGATAGACTTCCTCGTGCTATTGATCTATCATTGATGCCAAGTATCTTAGGTTAGCTCAATCTGAATCACCTGATGAAGTGAATCAAGTGAGAACTCTACCTACTCTAAGCGAGCTAATAGTCTTCTAATTGTAATAGGGCGGCTAGTGATGCACCGAATCCCGATCACGTTCCTCGCGTTACGTACTTCTTTGCTGAATAGTCTAGTGAGGTTATCTACTTAACATATATACACTATTCGACTGCCGTACACTGGCTATGGCTTCGCCTTGCACAAGTGTCCATTCGACGTGACGGTCCACTCGTCCGATCCCACCGCCGTAGTCCCATAAAACATGCTCTTCGGATCATACTTGGCCTTGACGGCCCGCAGCTTCTGATAATTTTTTCCATAAAACGCCGTCTTGAAATCGGGCTGCCGGAAGTCCGCCTCGTTGAGATACGCCCCTGACTGCGGCGCCAACGCCTCCAGCCGGGGAATGTATTCGTCCGTCATCTTGTGCTGCAGCGCGATCATGTCGGCCGTCGGAGCGGTCCAGTTCCAGGGGGTTGTGATGACGGTGTCGATCAGCGTGTCGCGCCAGGCGGGCAGCACCGCGTTGTAGACGTCGCCGGCGACCGCGGTCGAGACGTTGACTCCCACGCCGATGAAGGTCGCCCCGTCGGACGTGATGGCCCGGTATGCAGCCGTCAGATCGGCGTTGTTGGTCTGCACGATGGACCGCGGGATCAGCCAGCCGCCGTACTGCGCGATGCCGACCTCGATGGGGCTCTGCATGGCCTCGAATTCCGCCAGATAGCTGTCGAACTGCGCCGAATAGGTGGTATACTTGATCCCCAGCTTGGTCAGCCCGTCCGTGAACGGCTTCACCAGCTCCTGCAGCTTGGCCACAGGAATGTTAGGCCCCGTCAGCGGCGAGATAGAGAAGCTGGTGTTGGTAAAGTACCAGACGCTCATGGCGCCGGCGTCGACGATCGCCGGCAGCGTCGAATGATACAGCGCCACCGCCTCGTAGAACGTATCCTGCGAGATGCCGGCATTGGTAAAGGTCAAGTTCAGCCCCGAGGCCGGCGTCCCAGCATGTGCCTTGGACGTCATCGACCAGACCACCCCGTACGTGCCGCCGCCGCCACCGCTCAGCGCCCAGTAGAGGTCCGCGTACTCGTTGTCGCGGTTGGCCACGATGAAGTTGCCCTGCCCGTCAATCACCTCCCACTCGAGAACCTGATCAGCCGCCAGTCCGTGCCGCGACGCCAGCGCCGAGTGGCCACCGCCTTGGGTGTAGCCGCCCGCCAGACCGACGGTCGGACACTCGCCGCCGACGACCTCGAGTCCCTGCGCGTCGGCGGCCCGATACGCCTCGATGCCCTGCACGCCGGCGCCCAGCTTGATCGCCTTGCCCTTGTAGTGCGTGTCGGACCAGTCCTTGATCTCGATGTCCTTGAGGTGGTGCGTCCAGATCCCCAGGGCGCCGGCCCCGGTGGACTTGCCGTTGTAGTCGTGGCCGGTGTTGCGGACGACGACGCGGATGTTGTGTTTCGTGGCGAACTGCATGGCCTTGGAGATATGCTCGGGTTTGCTCACGTTGACCGCGTAGACAACGTAGTTGCCCAGCGTGCACGGCTTGGAGACGGGGTGGAACGGGTCGCAAGTGCCATTGGTGAAGAAGGGGGCCATGATCGACGAGGACGATTCATAGCTGCTTTATCAGTTCCAGCTCACAAAGAAAAAAACCACAATACGTACTGTAGCTCCGGAAGCTGCCATTGTGCCTTTAGAGCCTCGCATGTAGCAGCATCATAGTTGGGCGCATGGCAGGGAGTTCCCAGTGGGATCGTAGCAACCAGTCGACCGTCAATCGTCTGGTTGAAAGCAGACCAGACCTTTGAGGACGGCCAGCATGCTTCTCCAGGGAAGCATCGACAGTTTGTTTGGGAGGTGTTGGAGGCAGATGCCGTAGAAGACAAAGCCAAGAGGCCGGTCAGAACCGACCAGACGTTCGTAGTGGTGAACATCTTCATCACCTGTAGTCTTCTGGAGGCAGTCGACAAGGATGGACGGCAGACGAGGGATCTCTTGATTTATTAGTTCATTCCCTCAGCATCCGTCAACCAGTCACTAACTTGTAGCATCCGACGCTAGAAGCCACCGCGTGGGCTGGACAGGAGTTAATCCGATACTAATCCATTAGTCGGTGGAGATTCTTGAGTATTACTCCGTAGACTAATCAGCCGAAACTGTTCCTTGAATATAGTTGAGGGGTTTTGTCTCACTGATAGCTTTCCATTATTATTAGTTATCGACTCTCCTCGGCATCTCCATTCCATGCGAAGTAATATGCATATTCATCCCTTGATGCACAGCTACCCAATCCACTATTTAACTTCATAAAAATGTGTATTGTCTTGCATACGTGATACTTCTATCCAGTATCCAGATCCAGATCCAGACCCATCCCTACAAACGAGCACCTCCCACCAGCGTCTCCCACTCCCTCTTCCCAAACTCAACATATCCCTCCGCCCCCGGCGGAAGCCAATAAAACTTATCGTCCCGCCCCTCAGGCGCCTTACTCCCAATCTTAGCCGGGTCGACACCCTCCTCACGCAAGGGCACCTTGTTTTGCTTGTGGTTGTGGATATGCGCCGACGTCTCCACGATCCGCAGAAACACCGGAACAGCGTACCGGGGCAGTCTTGCGCGTGCAAACGCCGCCAGACCGCGAAAGTCGAATGAGTCCCGCGACTCCGGGCTGAGCTGGAGCGCTGCGCAGCCGGCGCGGCCCTCGTGGTTGGGAACGAGGACGCCGTAGACGTTGGCTTCTTGGATGCCGGGGTACTGGCCTAGGATTTCGGCCACCTCGGCGGTTGCACTGCGTCCATTAGTGTTTTGACTTTACTTCTGAGGGTAGAAGGGACAGCTTACACATTCTCGGATTTCCATCGAAAGGTATCGCCTAGTCGATCGAGAAAGTACCACCGGCCGTCGCTCTGGCGGCGCAGCGCATCGCCGGAGCGGTACCACAGGTCCCCCTTTTTGAAGACGTCGCGCAGGAATTTCTTGGACGTGGCACTTTCGTTGCGCCAGTAGCCTTGGAATGCTTGCTCGTTGGGGACATTGACGATGATCTCGCCGCCTTTGTCGTATGGGGCCCGGATGGCAAACCCCGTCTTGGGATCACGCAGGACATCGCCGGTGGTGGGATCGATCGCCACAGGCACAAAGGTGTTGTGCATGACAGCTCGCATGAGCAGTCCGTGGTGGCCGACACTCCCCGCCGTAAACGGGCCCTTGTTGAGATTGAACAGCCCGAAAAGCCCCTCGGTGCTGTTGAAGAACTCGCCCACGGCACTGATCCCGAACCGTTCCCGGAATTTCTCCCAAATGTCCGGTCGCAGGCCGTTGCCGTACATGCAGCGGACGTTGTGGTTGCGGTCGTCCGGCGAGGGCGGCGCCGCCAGCAGATACCGCGCGACTTCGCCAACGTACACGAAGATCGTGGCGTGAGAGTCTCGGATATCGCGCCAGAAGTTGCGCACGCTGAACTTCTTGCCTAGGGCAATGCTGACACCTGTGGTGAGGCAGACCATCATGGCGACGGCGGAGGTGCCGTGGTACAAGGGCATGCAGCTATACCAGATGTCCCCGCCGGGACCGTCGGTGTCCTCCATCGATCCGCGACGCAAAGCCAGCGTGCTGTACAGTCGTGCCATGGTGAATGCGCAGCCCTTGGGCATGCCGGTGGTGCCGGACGTGTACAGTAGGATGGCCGGATGCTCGCCCGACATGTTCTGTGCGAGCTCCTTGGGTGGCTTGGTGGTGGGAAAAGCGGATACTTGCGAGGCGAACGAGTGGTCTAGGTAGGTGAGTTCCATGCCGAGCTGGCCTTCGATCACTGCTCTGCTATCCTCGATCCGCGCGCGACATCCTTCATCGTCATCCACCAGAACAAGCTTGGCCCCGCTGATCTTGAGACAATGCACCAACGCGTCCCCGGTAAGATTGTAGTTGATCGCCGCGGGCGCACATCCAATACTGCAGAGAGCAAGCCACGCGATCATAAATTCGGCCCGGTTCTGCAGATAAAAGGCCACCAGATCCCCTTGCTTGACCCCTTTGGCCAAAAAGTAGTGCGCATACTGGCAGGCAAGGTTCTGGACGCCCCGATAGGTATAGGTTCCCTCTCGTGTCCACATGCACACCATATCCGGGTACTTCTTTGCTGTTTCCAGGAATACAAACCAGACATTTGCAAGACCCTTGGCGGCTGTTCTCGTCAGCGTGATTTTGCAGGTACGAGTGGAGGCACCATACCAGCTTGTTCAAAGGAACGAGTACTTTTCCATGCGACGTACAAAGTCGAGATGTCTTTGGTGATGTGGAACTTGGCGTTCAGATACGCCGCCAGCGTAGCACCTCCTGCTACTGCGGCTGCTGCTACGCCTACAGTATTCGATTAGTGACGCTCTGGATGTCAGGACATGTAGACGTACCCAGACTCATCGTGCAGGTAGTGATAGATTAGATTCAGTAATAGTCGTGTAATCAGTATCAAAACAAAATATTAAAAAGAAAGCAAGCAGTGAATGCTGTCTAATAATTGAGACAACTATTGCCGTTGCCGAGTTGTCGGTCTCTTCCTCGGTTCATCCTCGACTTCTCCGCATCTGGCATTTAACTTGTCGGTCTCGCGAGTCAGTTTACTGGTTCGGCTCTGACGGACACATAACATACTAGGCCGGTAAGGGATGATAACCATCAATCTCATTGGTGATTCTCTGGCAAAAGCATTTAGCCAGTCTTGTCTGAAGAACAAGAATGCGGGGAAGTGAGCTCAATGGCACTGGTCATTCCTTATGATAGATCATATTCCATCAATCATTCACTCATACACCACTCTTCAGTCTTTTCTTCAAGCTGAGCTGCCAGCAGCACCAGGACCAGCAACATCATTACCAACACGACCCTGCTTCTTCTTTTTCATCGCCTTCTTCCGCCGCTTCGTGGGCTGAGCATTGGTATGCGCCGCAGCAACAGTAGCAAGAGTAGCAGCAATGGACTCGTACATCCTCTGAAAGTCTTCGTTATCAAAGTACTTGTACTCCTCATCGTCGTATTCCTCATACTCTCTTCTCTTGCGCTTTCTGCCCCTGTTCTTTCGCTCGCCTATCTCGTGACGGGCACGTACATCCCAGCGTTGTCTAAACGGGAAGGGCGGAGCAGAGAGATGGACGCCACGGAAAACGCACTCAGTCGCTTCAATGGCCAGCTTCTTCTTCCAGTTTATCTTGCCATCGTTGTCGCTGTCGCTTGCGTCAACGGGAGCTTGCTCGGTAAGGATCTGGGTGGGAGGAGCGGGGGTCAGAGCGTTGACTGGAGGAGAGGTCGTCTCGGACTGCTATATCATCATGCATCAGTATCCATCAGTATCCTGACTGTAGATTATGCAAACTGAGCGAGATGACTCACCTGCGCGTAAGCCACGACCAAATCCGAGATCGCGTGTAGCGCCTGGCAGCTCTCGGCACCGGGACAGGTGGGCTTGTAGCACGAGCTACAGGACTATCTTCTTCAGTAGTATCCTGTGCATTGTAAATTGTACTTACAGCCATTGCTTTGATTGACAGCGACAACCAGAGCGAATCTGTGTTGGTGTGATGGTTGTTGTGATGATGGAGTCCAGATCGAGGAAGAAGTAGCAGCAGGTGACGCGGTATACAGACATGTTGCCTACCTCGCGTTCGCCGCAGAATTGACTATTATGGGTATGGAATCTAAACGTCTTGTGAAGCACCTAGTCGGTACTGGGAATAATATTATGCTACGTCGGTAACTACACCCGATCTCTATCCAAACCGCACCTCGCATCATGTCCATTGTGTCCGAGGCAGCACAGATATAACACTTTATAAATGCAGTCCTTGGAAAAATACACCTGCAACAACGTCATTGGGGTAGTCCAGATAAACGGTCTATAAATCCACGGAATACAAAATTATGGCCATCTTCATATCTTGGTGGTCATCGCGATTGCTGGCCAAATCTCAACCCAAAGCTCAATATCATCTTGGTGGTCCCTACTCAATAAGATGTTCGTCAATCTCTGACGCTTTTCACGCAGGAACCATACCTTGTCCCAAAAGATGAGTCTTTCTGCTCATGTCTTGCTAACCTGATACCGGCCAGCTAGACGGTCATCAATCCATGAGGAACAATTGCTTTGTTGTTAGCCTCATGATGCTCATGTTCTATGGGACGCGAGTGCACGACATGCCAGGATTGACATGTGTGTCAGCTATGTTAAATAAATGCAGCCTTGATAGCTAGCTAGATTGATACATAAGCATCAGTGGTGAAGTTATAATAGAGGAGCTTTCAGATTTATCCTCAGACAATGAGCATGAAGATGCAGAAATAAGATGCCCCACCCCCTCATGTAACTACCATCAAGCTAGTGGCCATATCTACTATGGCAATAGTTCTGGTTGCTATATTAGAATGACAGATAGCCATACTTAGCCCTACACTTATAGAAACTAGAGCATCAGCAGCTCTTTCCACATCTATGGGGACCGGGTCCTCTTCAGTTGCCTTAAACTCTAATACTGCATTTTTTATACTGGCTAGTTATATCCATCAATTCATAACCTAGCAACCTTCTTCTCCGTCGTCTGGCTCAACCAAACCTTAAACGTATCAACCAACCCATCAATTTCCTCCACCGTATTCCCAGCATGAAGGCAAACCCTCACCCGCTCTCTCCCCGCAGGAACAGTAGGCGCCATAATAGCGCGGACCACAAACCCCTTTTGCTGACACGCCGCGGCCAACTGGCGCGGGAAGCGGCTACGCACGGAGAAGATGGGCGAAGTCGGGAAATGATCCACCTGGAAGGCGGCCGGGTCCCAGGCGTCCAATTCCGCGAGCCGGTCGCGGAAGTACGCGACCAGCTGCTGCAGTTTGGTCTGATGCTGCTCCGTCTCTCCCTCTGCCAGGAGCTCGTAGGCAGCGCGTATGGACGCAAGGAAGGGGAAGCCCATGGCGGTTGTGTAGATCAGGCTTCGCGCGTAGTTGATCAGGTAGTCTCTTGTGTCGGGGCAACAGAGCACAATTGCTATCCAGTTAGTTCTGTGTAATGTAAAATGACGGAGAAACTCACCACCGTGGCTTGCAAGCGCTTTGCCGAACGTATGCACCCGGATAAACATGCGCTTCTCGACGCCTAGGCCCTGGACAACGCCCGCACCGCGGGGCCCAAACACTCCTGTAGCGTGCGCCTCATCGACAATAAAGTAGCCATTGCCTCGGGGGAGGAGCCGATCAACCACCCGGATAAAGTCCTGGATAGGTGCAACGTCGCCGTCCATGCTGTAGATGGACTCGATGGCGATAAAGACGTTGCGCGAGCCCGTTTGGATCAGAGGGTCGGCGGCGATATGTGACTGGAGGACTTCATCCAGGCTGCTGGGGGAGCTGTGCGAGAACGGCACCCGCATGCCGGCCCTCGATAGCCGCATGCCCTCGCGCGCGCTTGCATGGATGAGTTCATCGTACACGATCAGGTCTCCTGGCTGGGGAATGCAGGAGAAGACACCGACGTTGGCGTCGAAGCCCGAGTTGAATAAGAGTCCGCTGGGAGCGCTGTGGAAGTCTGCAATGAAATTTTCGAGTTCCTCTGCGTAGGTTGAGTTGCCGTCCAATAGACGTGACCCTCCGCTGGCGAATGGATACAGCGGGGGAGCTTGTTGGATGAGGTCTAGAAAGCGTTCTCGGAAGACTGGAGATGTCGACAGCGATAGAAAATCATTTGAGGAGAAATCTACTGAGGATTGAGGTAGCACAGTCAACCGTCGACGAGATGACTTGGCTTCTCTGCGAAGGAGTGCTTGACGCAGTGACTCCCGGAGGGACATGGGAGGGGAACTATCCATTAGAACAGACTATGGTAGACTTGTCACTAACAGATTATCCAAAAACGTAGTGACACAGTGACACTAGGGACAGCTGATCTGGGGTAGATAGATAGACTAAGGAAATAAAGACATGACCGTCCGGATCGAACTCACCGGAGTGGAGCCGGGAATTGGTGATTATCAGCGTCTGTGGACCGGGTAGGTACTTTCAGGATTCATGCCTTGTGACAGTGTGACACTGACACATATGATAATTATAATCATAATAGTAATAGTAATAGTAATAGTAATAGAAAATAAAATAATATTAGATTGTGGTCATTGCTTCAAGAAAGCCAGCACTAGTGTGGACAAACAAACTGTAACTGCCAGGGACCAGGACCAACTGTTGGTCCCCAACAGCAGGAAATGTTTGGGATTGGTGGGACATTCCTTGGTGCCTTGCTGCCTTTGTGCCTAGTGGGCTGCCAGGGAACCCGGATTAGCCTTAGCGCCTGATGGATGCCTCGGCCAACCCAGGAATAAGTTATAAACAGCCGAGTATTATTATGGGTCCTTGGAAAGATGATTCACCGAGATTAGATTGCCCTGCTTATAGTCGGCTATGCGGCTATCGTCGATATCACTCACGTCTCTACCTTGAATAGTGAGATATCGGTGTACAAGTCACAACACAGGCTGACTATCTGATGCCTCCGGTTCGAGCGGCCTTGTGGCGCACTCTGCGTGCCCACCAAGTCTACGGCGCCAACACGGACGTAGGCAAAACGATTGTGTCTACTATTCTATGTAATGCGGTACAACGTCGCAAGGCCGAACAGGCGGCATTCCTGAAACCAGTCTCTACAGGACCATTGGACGAGGCCGATGACAGACACATCCAACGTCATGCGGCCGGTACATTGACCAAATGTCTGTATCAATTCGATGAGCCGGTGAGCCCGCATATCGCTGCTCAACAGAAGAACTTTGTTGTAAGTTTTGACCAGCAATCGCTGCTCCGAAACAAGCTGATAAGATAGATCCCTCGGGACGATGATATCCTCGGTTCCATGCACAAGACACTCTCCGAATGGGCTCGCACTGGGGTCAGTTTCGCTCTCGTCGAGACCGCCGGTGGAGTTCATTCGCCTGGGCCGAATGGTAACTCGCAGGCAGATCTTTACCGGCCCCTTCGTTTGCCGGTGGTTCTTGTGGCAGATTCGCGACTTGGGGGCATCTCGTCTTCCATTTCGGCCTACGAATCATTACTGCTTCGCGGCTACGATGTCAATTCGGTGCTCCTGTTCCGCGATGATTACTACAAGAACCATGAGTACTTGGGCGACTACTTCCGCAATAAGAGTATTCCCCTTGTACCACTGCCACAACCCCCCAAACGCCCTCAGTCGCAGGATGCCGCCTCCCTGGCGCAGGACGAGGAGGCCATGGCAGGCTACTATCAGCAAGTCGCGCAGGAATCAGACATCCAAAGTCTGTTGGATGAGCTGGCGGTGAGAAATGGCGAGAGAATCGATCGGCTAGAGTCAATGGCTAGCCGGGCCCATGACACGATATGGTACCCCTTTACGCAGCACCATGGCATGACAGCCAAGGATATCACTGTGATCGACTCTGCACATGACGATTATTTCCAAACGTTTGAGTCTGGCGGCAGCGCGGATCAGGGTAGCTTGCAACCAACGTTTGACGGCTCAGCGTCGTGGTGGACTCAAGGTCTTGGTCATGGCAACCCGGAGCTGGCCTTGTCGGCTGCGTACGCAGCTGGACGATATGGACATGTCATGTTTGCCGGGAACGTTCACGAGCCCGCGCTATTACTCGCAGAGCTCTTGAAAGACACTCTCGGAAACCCTCGGCTTCAAAAGGTCTTCTACACCGACAATGGAAGCACGGGGATGGAAGTGGCTGTGAAGATGGGTCTTCGTGCGGCATGCCATCGCTACGGTTGGGATGCCAGCAAGGAACAGATCAGTATCCTTGGCCTCAAGGGAAGCTATCATGGTGACACGATCGGGGTCATGGATTGCTCGGAACCGTCGACGTATAACCAGAAGGTCGAGTGGTACCGCGGTCGCGGCTACTGGTTTGATTTTCCCTTGGTGAAAATGTCCCAAGGGACTTGGAAGGTTGAGATTCCTGGAGAGCTGCGAAACTCCTTGGGCGAGGATCTCGAGTTTTCTTCGTTGAACTCGGTATTTGATCTGGAGACCCGCGTCAAATCGGAAGCGGGACAACGTTACAGAGAGTTCATACGCACTACGATCAAAGATCTGGTCCACAGGCAAGGAATGAAGTTTGGTTCCCTCATCATGGAGCCTGTCATTCTCGGAGCCGGCGGAATGCTCTTCTGCGATCCTCTATTCCAACGATGCCTCGCAGACGTGGTCCGCAGTCATCCAGAGCTCTTCGCGGACAACGCTACAGATACAAACCGCCTAGGACCGGCAACATCCTGGTCAGGTCTCCCGATCATCTTCGACGAAGTCTTTACCGGACTCTACCGTCTCGGACGCAAGACTGCGGCCTCCTTCCTGAATGTCCACCCCGATATCGCCGTGAACGCAAAACTCCTGACAGGTGGTCTTCTACCTCTGTGCACCACGCTTGCGAGCGAGGAGATTTTCCAAGCATTCTCCAGCCCCGAAAAGAGCGACGCCCTGTTGCACGGACACAGTTATACCGCACACGCCGTCGGCTGCACGGTCGCAGTGGATTCCCTGCGAACCATGACGAAGATGGAAAGCAGTGGGTCATGGAATGCGTACCGCGATGACTGGAAAGCAGTCGATGTGTCTGGGGAAGATAATTC